TCAATGGGACATCTTAAAACATTGACTTAGGAAGAAACAGAAAGCAAGCATTACTTCCCCCCCTTTAAAGCTGTATTACAAAAACATCAAAATCATGCTGCTTGTATTTTATGCCCACATTGCACTCACAAAAATTACTTATCTGGGCCAACCAAGAAAGAATCATTTACATGACTAAAATAATATCAACAGGAATAACACGAAATACTGCGCTAGTGTCACAAGTCAATACAAACTACTGCATTAATACCGAAGAAAACAAGAATTCTATCTGATTGGTTTTGACTTAACTGATAATTTAGAAACAATCTTAAATTTGAAATCTAAAGTTTCTTACCGGGAGCTTTGGACTATATTCAGTATTTCAGGACCCTCTCAAGCCAGCAATAAATAACATAGTTATTCTTTCTTTTATGTAAAAGGGGTACATATTCAGGTAATTTCAAAAAGAAATTTTTCTATTATTCATATAACTTACATGAATGGAAACTGACCTTGTAGAAAATCTTCTGGCGTGTGTATTACTAACTCTGTTGTATTCATTATACCAGTTATATCATTTTATTCTCATTTCCAAAAAGGATACAAGTATTTTTTTTCTCAACTAAAGCTTTAAGGGAATAGTAACTAGGAGAGTCTATAAATTTAAGTTACATAGCTAAGTCAAAAGTGTACATAGACGGTACAACTTAAAACATAAGTTTTATCATCACTGTGGAGCTATGATATACTACAGAAAAAAAAAAACTTAAAACAAGGGCAAAATAAAGCTTGGGGATCACTTAAATCTCATAAATCAGTATTTTCTCCCAAGCGGACCACAAGAAGACAGCTATCAACTCAATTAATACTTACTAGGCACAAACCTTGTAAAAAAAAAAAAAAGTTATGCCTAATGTCATATTTTAAATAATCTTGGGATATATCTAAGTGAAATATGAAAGTAAGTATCTCTTAAGATCAAACATTTTCAAATTTCAACATAAATCAAATACGGTAGATGCACATTTTGCTTACCGCCCCAGCCTCTAGCACTATCTGGTGATAAAATTCATGAACCAGCTGAAGAAAATGACTTGTGTTCTGTTAATATCATGTAATTACACAGTAACATGGCCTACCCCTTCCCCACAGCATTTCTTCAGCCGTCTTTAGTGCTAATGTACACAAAAAACAGTCCCGGAGCTGCCTAGAAAAACATAAGCTGGAAATGTTTGAAAAAATAAAGCTGACCTATAAAATTATCTTACAGATGTAAAAAGAACAGAAACTAAAAAAGCTGCAATACCATCGATCTCATGGGGAAAATGGAGCAAATATTGACTGCTCTTTCCTAACTGACATACAAAAAAATTTTTAATTAAATATACTCGATGATTTCAAAAATCATTCATTAGAGTTGAAGAGGGAAGAATAAGACTGTCAGTATTAAATTTTTAACTTATCAAGAAATGCATGGGATTCACATGTCGACTTGCGTTTCGAATATTCTTAAGTTTTTAATAGTTTTTAAATAGTCCTTAAAAATCACACCCAAAGCTTAAGATTGTTAATACTGGCCCTAACCAAAATACCTTCAATAACACTGAAGCCATCTGTCAATTATCAAAAATAATTATCTCTGTGTTTTTTCAAGAAGCCTGAATCATATCACATGTGTCTTTAGATTTTTTGTATGTTGTTTTATGCAGTAGAGAAATACCACCGTTAAATACAATGGAAAAATGAGTATATAAGGAAATGAATAATGGGCAGAACACTTATACTATATAAATTTGGATTCATCTAGATCAGGGCCTCTTAACCCCATTAAATCCAGTGCACTGTTTCTGTGAGACATGTTTCAACATCTTTTTAGTACAGTGATATAGAAGCCATACATAATATAACGCATCTGCACGCACAGATCTCATTTTGCATGGTAGTGAGGGACCATAAAAATATGGACTGCATCACGCTCTCTCTACCTCATCCAAGGAGGCTCCTTATCCTTGAACTTGATTAACAGCACCACCACCCGCCCAGGAACCTGAACTGGAAATCCGAGTCATCCTTTGCACCCACTTTCCCTCACCCTCCTCAACAACCCTGCACACAATCTTGCCGATCCGCCCTCAGATGTGGTGGACAAGACAGACCTCTGTCCCTGCACTGGGCTTATTAGCTCAGGCCAAGGGGAGGCTGTACAACGTCGCAGACCAGCATGACCCTGGGAGTCCGGCAGGCCTCCCAATGTGTGCCCTGAGGAGAGACCAACCTACCACAGCCTGATTTTAATCTGCCTGCACTACTGCTGGAGGCCTCAAGTTTCT